ATATTGAAAATACTTCTGAATACTACTTACTCATATATATATACAATCGATCGTTTCAAAAACACTTAACTAACTTTCTACGAAAGCTTCTGATAATTCCTCTTCCACATTCTCTGTTTCACTATCACTGTCATCATTTAAATCAATAATGATTTATTTCCAACATTAATATGGAAGTGTCCAATCTCCATATAGTCTATTTCACCTAAAATTACTTTTTTAATCTTCTTCTGCCAGTCTTCTTCGGTAATATTAGAAACTTCTTCTTTAACTAGCTCTATTACCTTCTTATCAAATTTTGAAAAATTATTTTTTCGCCTGATGCTTTGTTTCAATGTTCCCCAAATCAACTCGATGGGATTGAGAACTAAAAAATAGGGGGGATCTCTCAGTATGGTGTGTCTATACTTTTCAGCAGTACTCTCAAGGGTATACACTTTTTCAAATGTTTTTGTCTGTAAAACTTCAAGTAGTTGGTTTTTGGTACAGTTATTTTCAGAATAGACATTGTTTTCCATTAAAAACTTTGTATTTCAAACTTTCTTCGAATTTTTATTCGGTATTTTAATGAGCTGTCGCGAATGATAGGAAGCGTTGTCAAGAACTATTACACTATTCGCATCCAAATTTGGGATCAATGTGTTTTCAAACCATTCCTCAAAAATATTAGCTTCCATGTTCTTATGATAGTCAACATTGCAGTCCTCAAGTTTTTTTCCACATAATTTTAAAGAACCAAACTAGAGATGTAGATTCTTATATACATTGAAACATACTTTCTGTGTTTCAATATTCAAATGCATCTGAATCATATTCACTGGTATCGCTATTGCTATTAGTATTTGTCCAAGGACACACTTCAAACAGATAATAAAAAATTTGAGTTATTATGACTGCACCAATATCGAATTTCAACACTCAAATCGCGATCAGTTCCTGAACTGAACATTGACAACACGACGCCTCGCATTCTATTCGTCACCGTAATATGACTTCAAAATTTAATTATATGACTCTTCAGCCAATCATAAAACTCGGTGAGTAAAAATCATCCAATACGAACCGCCAATTCTTCAGTACACGTGGACTAGCTGGCAGCGGCTTTATCTCTTTGTGTTGGTTTTTGGCCTTTGAGGGTGCTGATAGTTTTAAGTGTTCACAATAAAGATTACTTCGACTATATAAGTTGCAGAAAAGTTTCACTGACAATTCATTATGCCCGTATTCGCCATTTTCTCTGTAAAGCAAAGCATGCGTAAGCCCGCTTAAAATTCAAGCCAAATTTGAATGTTTGCGGTATGCACCACAGAACAATAAACGTAGCTTAGCCAAGCGCTAAAATAACTTGGCAACGTTGTATCGTTCTGGGGATAATAACTGTTTACGCGTCAATTTTCAAATCACGAGAACCAAACGTTAGGTCAATTTAATAAAAATTGGGGTTACGGTGGTTTACTTTTACCTTGTTGTCGAAAAGTATCAGAATCAGACAAAAGAACATACTTACCAGTGAATGTTCATATCTATTAGTAGCGAAATGAATAAAAAAGTAAGAGTTCCAAACTTCACCTCAACGGAGAATTAATTTTTGCAATTCAATTATAGCCCCCTGCATTGCAAAATAAGATCTAATTGACAACCTATAGAGAGAGAAATGTTCTACTCAGAACTACCTGCATCTCGGCCGTTAGCCAACTCTGGTGGACAAAATAGTACCATAAAACCACTTATAAATTTACTATTTTATATGTGGTCAGTTATATCCTGTGATTGTATTAAAAAAAAGGAAAAACAATCGAATGTTTTTTCACAAATCATTTTTAAATTCTGAAGCATCTTCTATGAGCTCCAAGCACATATAGTGTTGTCAGTTTGGTCAGTCCGAATCTTCTATAAAAGGCTATATCATCATCTCTTCAAAATAGTTGGGCCTCCTAAACATTCTTCGTCGATATCCCAAATCAATGATGTGTAAGATGCCATTATCGTCTACCAGCATGATTTCATCTTCTAGTTCTGCAACAACTGATTATAATTTCACAAGTCCGTTTATTAAACATTTCAGCAAAACGTCACTTACATTATTTTCAAAACTAAAGAATGAAAAGTGAGGTTCTGGTGTCTACACAAGCTTAGCTTCACATGTAAAGCCACCGAATTTGGCCGCTTACATTCGAGCAAACTCAAAGGCGTTTGTGGATACGGTGCATACAAAACTGAAGCGTTAAGAGAGCTTACCCCTTAAGCTTCGCTTATTGGTATACGGCGAATACGGGCATTCAAATTGCAATTCAATTTCGGTATTCAGTTTTGTCCATGAATAATTAACCGAATTCAAAAGATGATGATACTGTATGGAATACTGTTGATTTATAAATACATTTCCATACAAACAAATATTCAGTATCAAAATTGTGGTTACTTACAACATTGACAGCGATTTCTTTCTCCCAAATAGCGTCATTCATAATTCCCGCATTATTTATGAGTATATCAACATTGTTGAAAACTTCCACTGTTTTTCGGAAAGCCTCTGGAAAATTGAGACCTTTATCAAGAGTTACTAGAATAAAAAATGATTCACTGGTTACCTTCAAATTGCTTCTTGTCTGTGACGTCAGTTTTTATAAAAATCACTTTTCCTCTACCAAATTCTTTGTTAAGAGTTTCTGCTGCTGTGCTGCCTTCCACGGGGTCGCAATCTGATATCGTTATGCCCTAAAACACGCCATTATGGAGTATACAACATTCACTTATTCAAATTTGAGATACGTTAGTTTTTTCATTTGCTGAATTAATAGTATACTGAGAATTTCAAGAAAATAATACACTTACGAATATTTTTTATGCAAAATGAATTAGGTTGAACATAATAGAAAACCCTAAAGTAACCATGAAACTTTTTTGATGCCCTTCACTTACATTCTGAAATAAAGATCGAAGATACGTCAATTGAAAACACTTTTTCCGCATCAGACCAAAAATACTGCCTCTCGGTGCGCGTATCGTTAATCATGGATCTTAGTCATCCCCTGGTGAAAGCAACTTGGTTAGCGAAACGCGCGTCGGAAGATATTATTTTTTTTTTATTTCCTGATTGACTCGACCGTTACATTCATTATAAAACTATACATTGATACATTATCATGAGAGATATATAGTCGATATATTAATACATCAACATGCTAAGATGTACGCTATTATTGATACCTTCGTATTCAATGCTAGTAAAGAGAAGAGAGATGTGGTGCTAGCGATGATTTCTAAGCTACTATAATAGATATATATGAAGTTTCACCCCGTAAACTCCTGTCTATGCACACATTGATGCGGAAAAATGACAAGAACTCGAGCAGCAAAAAATATATATATATATATGCAGAGGACAAGATGCATGATATCACAGGCTACACTTCTGAAGAAAGCCTAGAAGAAGAGGCGATAGCTAACAAAAAACGCTCGAGGAAGGCAGAGACTCCTAGGAAATCACAAAAACCTAAAGCGAACGAAAGCAATAAGACAAAAACACAGGTACGGAGTGAGGTACTGAGAGAACAAAAGACATAGATTTCTAAAAAATCCAAGAAACTCAGGGCCAATGACCCTGAAAGTATATCTACCCAAGTAATCAATGAGGTCCTAAAACCTCATATGATGGAAGAAAACTGTACCCCTGAGACTATGGAAACTGAAACGCACACAGAAGACGCCGTGAGTTCTGCAACAGCACAGGCAACCGTGTCAAAAGTAATTAAGCCACCGCCTATTACCATCAGGCAAAAGGATAAGTGGACAAAGTTTAACGAAATTGCCGCACGCGAGAAGGCGAACTTCACAAAAGCGGTCAACACAAATGACAGCATAAAAGTCCAGGCAGCAGGCCCGGATGACTACAGAAAAATTATCAAAATATTGGAGAAAGAGCAGATTCCGCATCACACGTACACGATGCAAGAAGCAGAGCTCTTGAGAGTGGTGTTTCGAGGAGTACCTAAATTCCTCGAAACTAAAGAAGTCGCAGATGACCTGAAAGCCAAGGGCTTCAGTATCTTATCGATAGCCAGGCTTGAAAAATGCAATAAAAAGCCACTCCCGCTTGTACTGGTTCTCGTTACGAGACAACAGAACCACATATACGAGATCAGAGAGGTCCTAAACGTAACAGTTAAAAGCAAACCTCAAACACATCCAACGACAGTGGGGCAATGCTACCGCTCCGCTACCAGAAGTTCGGACATTCGCATAGGAACTGTAAAGCAGTTTCTGCGTGCCAAATATGTGCCGGTCGCCACCTGACGACCGAATGTAAAAACCCGAAACAATCCTCGGTGGAATGTTTCAACTGCAAAGGAAACCATCCAGCAAATTACCAAGGATGTCCAGAACAAAAAGGTCAACATCAAGCCTAGAAACCTACCAGCCCAATCAAGAAGACCGACAGGAACGAATATGACAAGAAGCAACGTCTTGTACGCGAGGGCCGTGAGTTCTACCCTAGCTTGGTCGACGGTCTTTTTACACAAAACACAGCACCGCGCTGATGAGGCCACTAGCCAGAACCACGTGTCCGCGATTTGCCCCCTTTTAGGAGTGTTGTGTCCACGAATCGTTTTATTTTCGATTTGTATCATAGACACTCGAAAAAATATATATCTGTATTCATAGCCTGAATCCGGATTTCACGCAGGTACGTGGTCATGTTAGATGTAGCCTGGGAATTCTAGGTCTTCTAACTGGAACCACACTTGTGCGGTTGGCTCCTGTTCTTGACTCCGTGCGTATGTGTTGTTTTCTGTTTTCGACAAACAAATGTTGCCTATCTTTACACTTGGCTGCACCGCGCTGATGAGGCCAAGCTGCCTTCGTAGTCATGTTAGATGTAGTTTGGGAATTCTAGGTCTTTGCGGTTGGCTCCTGTTATTGAGTCCGTGTTGTTTCCTGTTTTCGGCAAACAAGTGTTTCCAAACCCTCTTTATGGAAAGGTAGAATTATGATATAAAATTTCACCTACGTGGGACTCTATTATTCTCAAGGGCGGACTTCGAAGTTTCGAAATAATACACTTGTATTATTTCCTTATCATAACATTTCGACTTTATGTCACGCATGAGATAAATCTATTGATCTCACGATAATAGTACGGTGAGATATTCTACATTTTTTTATTTAATCCCAGCCATACGAATCTTTTTCAAATTGAAAGGCGTATATTTTCAGGAGAGGCTAGTTTTTGTGAAAAAAAAACAAGCGATCACTTCCTGAAATCTACAACAATACTGCAAAAACACCTTATAATTTGGTCAGACGTGTGGTTGATGATAACAAACTATTTCGAGAATTGAATTGATAGAAAACCTTTAGATTGACTGGATTCCTACTACACAATTAGGTATGAACGTTTTTAAAACGATAATTTCGGAAAATATATTTTTCAAAAAATTGTAGGTATACTATACCCTGACTCCATTTTTCAAAAGCTCCTTGGCAAACTGAAATCCTAGACCTCTTGCCCCACCGGTTATCAAAGCAACTTTTCCTTGTAAATTAAAAACCATTTTAAAGCACCAACAATCACTGTCAGCAATCCCGAATGAAATGATCTTCGTATTTTATAAGACTATTAAACAACCTTCGTTGTTTCAAGTCAAGGTTTTTCGTAAGTAATTTAGTAATTATTGCACGTTATCACTAACCTGAGTGTTGCGTGTTTTAACCTCTGAAAAAATATAGATAGGAGGGTAACCAAACTGGACAATTGTCTCATTGAATTTCAACGAAACCAACAGGAGAAAAGCAAAATTACATAAAGGCAAGATAGATGTCTACTAAAATATTACAGAAACTTCTTATCTACTTCTATTTTCTTTCCATCATCAGTATAACTACGTAAATAATTGTTAATGTTGAAATCTGTGAAAATCTGATTTGAGAACACATTTGATAACGGGGAGCTATTCAACTCAATTTGATCGTTCCTTAGATATTGATTTCTGTACTTTCGTACTTTCCGGAAGGTGAGGTTTCGAACCGTTCTTCTGGAAATGAGTGTTGAGGTGATGATTGAACTAATATCCATCTGTAACGAGGTGAGTAGCATAAGTTGAGTTTATAATTGCATTCGGAAAAATGTTTTTATTTTATTTCATGCTTGCTTGGAACCTTCTTTCAGTTCGACCCATGTAAAACATCCGACATAAACCACATAAACCACATCAAACTCATTGTTATTTTTCATTCGCAAGCTCAAGTTGTTATTGGTATCATACACTCTATTTACACCTTTCATTTTTAGAGAATTAGAAGTCTTTAAACTTGGTTGGCCCGAATATGTTAACGTTCTATGATTTTGCTCATCGTCTTTTGAAATCGATAAATTTTTTTTATGACTACATTTTGGAGAAATACGTTCTCAGAAAGTTTATTCCACATAATCGCAGTTATCCAAATGAAATAGTTCTCAAACAGTGAAGTTTGAACCTCAAAAAGATGGGAAGCCACAGTCCGTCGCATATTTCTGTTATGTTCCACTCTTGGTGGAATAAATGTGCCAAGTCACTTGAACGCGTCTACAATCAGGCGGATGGCTCTTTTCTGGATAAAATCCAGCAGCTTCAGGGTATACTTAGGGGCGGAGCTCCATACATGTGAACAATACTCCAAAGAATGTCTGATCTAAGCTTCATGAAGCATCACAATTTGCTGAAGTTTGTACAGTTTTCTGTTTCGAAACAGTGTTCCAAGCTTTGGAGAAGCAGCTTTTGCAAATCCAGTGTCATGAAAAAGCGAAAACACCGCAACCAGCCCACGAAGCTGAAAGGTTTTCGAGAAACTTGGATGAAATCGTAAACTAAGATGACTGTCAAGAAGCAAAATACTTTCCAAGAAAGCTAATAGGAAAGAGTAGAGATAGACAACTGGATTACGTTGAAAGAAGGTTGCAACAAATTTCAGAGAAATGGGTAATTAGTAGGGTAATACAAAATATTGTACTATGGAATGAAATTTGATGAAACATGAATTTTTCCACTAACAGTTTTTGTGAAGTTTTCACTATAAACAATTCACAAAATCGTAATACACATTTCACAATTGGAAGTGATACAATAAAGTGTTCCTCGAATACATTATTCCATTTTTAGTTAGTTGTGTCATGAGCATTGATGCATTATGTCTCTTGTGTATTAAATGTGCTTATGAAAATGTTAACTGTTTCATAGTTAGTGATACCAGTGATCAATTTGATACAAAAATTTTCTGCTCTTTGGATTCGCTGAATATCGATACTTTCTAGATGAAGTTCAGTGTATATTATTGCGAAAGTTAGGTTGTGAAACCAGAAGAGCATTTTTTCTCATTGCGATTCAGTGTTTTGTGAATGAAAAATTTTCAAAGTGTGTAGCTTATTTTAGCCTCATATTGCTTTTTGTAGCCTATTGTAACCTCAATTTGTAATCCAGTATCAATGTCGTTAACTACATTATCGATTATTTTCAGTTCTTTTTCTTCTAACTCACAAGTGAAATACTGAATTGAACAGGTTAATTCCTAATTTATTTGGTGAACATCCTGTGTTGTATACAATTTCTAGTTAAGTTTGTCAGTGATTTGTTTACTTGTCAAGTTTTAATTGAATTCATTATCGATGTGAATTAATACATTTGTTGAATATTTTTACTAATAATGATTTCACTGGAACTTCCAACTGCGTCAACAATAAGTGGTTTTGCTGATGTACTACAAAAAGAGTGCTTGATAGATATGTGACACATCGAAAAAGCGATATCTGGTATTGAATCATTAATGCATTTTTTTTTCAACTCTGGTCTCATCTAGTTACGTAATTGGGATGAAAACTGCAGAAAGTTTAAAAAAAAAAAACAAATTCTTATTTGAATTGAACGATATATTTTCAGGAGTGATTAATTTTTGGAAAAGAAAGTTTTTGGCTGTCTACTACTTCATCTTGATACAAAAAATGTGGGAATCTTTCAAAGGAAGGAAGAAAGTAATCAATTTGAAAATAAGTAACTCTATACATGGATGTGTAGATCATGCAAAGAACTAACTTTCAGACACAACCTGGAAGAAAGCCCTCCCGAATACTGAATTATACAGAAATAATTTTTTCTTTCGTGCATGTAATTCAATGTTGATATGAAAGTAACTGTTTCGGGAGGGCTTTCTTCCAGTTTGTGTCTGAAAGGTACTTCTTTGCATGATCTATACATTCATGTATAGAGTTACTTATTTTCAAATTGATTACTTCCTTCCTTGGGAAGATTCCCACATTTTTTGTATCAGAGTAGTAGAAAGTGTTCATTATGCCAAATTAAACGTCTATTACCTGAGAAGGTGGGAGTTCGAATGATATTTTAACAACAGTTAAATATTATTTGAAAAATAAATCCTGCAAAACAATTGACTTCGTTTTCGATGACATTTCTACAATTTTGGATAATACAAGATTTGAACAGAAAACAAAACTTTAGGTCTAAGGTAATTGTTTACTTGAACAATAGCAAAAAAGCAACTACAACATGAATTTCCATATATTTTTCGGTAGCGAAAAGCTGCTCGGCCTTAATATTTTTGAATTTCCTTAAGTTTCTATTATTTCTCAGAATAGTTAAACGGTGTCGACATTTTGATGTTAATATGTTAGAAAAACGAACTCTGTTACTTCAACCTGTCGTTTGAACTTTGAAAAAACACTGAATTTGAATAGTTTTCAAGTTTGCAACTAACAAATTATCATAGTTGTTTATCATTTTCACTCATGATATAGATAAAAAAATCACGGACGACAATGATTTGAGAGTACCCCTGTAGTAAGAAATAACATGATGCAAACTGATAAAAAAACGAATAAATAGGTTACATACGGAATGTACTCAAGAGTAGCATATTTCCAATAGAAGCGTTAAATAAAAATCAGCTAATCGGTTTTTTAAACATGTGATATTCAATAATGTAGGTTAATGTCAAATCGTCCGTGCTTTTTGATGTGTGTTCCCCCTCCCTCCATTTTTCCCTATGCCTCGATACAGTATGAGAATTTGATGACTGATTCTACTAATGCTAATTCTTGTGCTAATATATTTCATAGTTACTGATAGAAACAACATATCTACAACAATAACATATTTATTTTTTCTTTGATAAATAATATATTGAACTTCGACTCTACAGATAAAATCTCTACTCAAAGTGTTGGTTGTGGATCAGAACTTGCCCTCCTCACAGATAAACTCAAATGTTTATGCAGTTTCGTGCAATTTTTTCCTGACCTTTCTGTATTGCGGTATTATTTTGGATAATTCACCCTGCTTATTGTCAACACTGATAAAATCCTTGAACAGTCTGCGCTACTATAACAACTTAACAACCAATGTTGAAAGATAAGCCCTTCGTAATTGTCAGCTTTCACATGTTTAGACTTCTGTTGTTCGTATAATAATGACAGCTAGTTAGTGAAACACATTTTTTTTAACCTATTCCATCAAGAATGATTTCATGATAGAACTTGATATCAAAATCAAAGTATTCATTAATCATCAATTTCCATCAATGCATATCCATGCATAAAAAGAATCACTTTTAAATTTGAATATTTATGATAAGATTAGTACGAAATGCGATAAAATGAGATATCTTTAATTTAAATTTTTCTTTGATATAGTATCTGCCGCCGTTTCTATTTGGCTAGAAGTAAGACTCTTATTCTTCAGTTCTCACCTTTCTTAGGTCCCCTCTTTTTGAATGATATTTTCCACTCTATATCCCCAGGTTTCTGTGTGTGTTACGCTAATGACACTACTTTCATTCAATCCAACAACAACAACGAAATCTCCACTAATGTTGAACGTAAAGCGGAACTCCGGTTCAGAGCAAATTTCAAAAAATGATCTGCTCCTCAAACAAAAAGTTATGTGGATCGGAAACTGTCAAGCTGCTTGGTCTGACCTTTAATAATGACTTGAGTTGGCAAACCCATGTTGATATATTATCCAAAAAAACTATCCGGTCAGCTTTTTCTCTTGAGACGTCTTAAAAATTTTTCAAATTCTTCAACCCTCCTCTCTTCATATCACGCTCTTTTCCTCTCTTATTTGAATCTCTGTTAGAGATTTCCGTCTTCAAAAGCGAGCTGTTCATTTGATGGCTGATGCCGAGAACTCTTCAAGAAGTTTAGGATTCTATGTCTTCCTTCTATCTATATCCATCAAAGTCTCCTCGAAATACATACAAAAAAAACTGAAATTGACAGGAATAACGGTTCCTTCAATTATTCAACCAAGGAAGCAGACCATTTGAGGGCTCTTAGATATAAACTTGCAATCGCACAAGGCAATTCCCTGAACTTGCATATGTAAAATAAGCTACCACGTGAATAGAGAAATCTTGATCTCATCCCTTTTAAAAAGAAGATGAAAAAATTCTTAGTAAATTTTAATTTTTATTCGGTAGAAGGGTACGCAATTTCCAATTGATAAGTATGTAGTTTCTTACCAAAAATAAATTAAAATTATTTATCTTTACTCTTCGACGAGCGTTCGATATTCTTCCAGATTAACCTCATGCAGTTTCTACTAGACATTTCATATATAGTAGTAGGGCATTCTGC